CTGAAATAATATTAGCGGTGGGTCCGATGGCAATTTTATATATATTTTAATTGTATTTTAATTGCTACATAACTTTATTGTATTTTAAATGCTGTAAGCCGCCCAGAGACCTTTGGGTAGTGTGAGCGGCATATAAATTAAATAAATAAATAAATAAATAAAATATGCAAAAATAATTAATCAAAGTAGCTTTAGAAACCATTACCCTGCTGTCTCTATTATTCTTGCATCAATGTTGGTTTTTGAGGGGTACATTGAGAAACTAAATTCAATATGCAACAATATCCCATTAGGTGTGAAATAACATGCAGAAAGGAGGTTTACTTGTTTTGACGGGCTATTGTGGCCTTTGCTTGTTGCATGGATTTTTCTTTTACGCATATGTGATTAATTTCTAACCTTGAACATAGAAGCATACAATACATTTAGGCACAAGATGTTCAAGATGAAGTTGGGCTGCGTATAAAAGAATCTTGTGCATTTAATTTTAGAGATGGAGGAGAGTAAATTTGATTTTCTTTTCAAAGGTGCAAATATCAGAATGAAATATTGATGGTGAGAGTGCTTCATTTTTTAACGAAAAAGACGTCTTACACACATTTCCTAATGCTCAGCAAGAATGTAAGTTTATATACAGGGAAAACATAGCTATCTTGGTATATGTTGGAAGGTTTCTTGTTAAGAGGTAACATGCCCCTGGCAAAGAACCTCTGTAGCAGTGCTACCTGCCATCTACATCTGGCATGCTGAGGAATGATCAAGCTTCTCATTTCCTTGCTGCCTGGCATTTAAGACAGTTCTGGCTTAATAGATAGAGTTATTCACTATACAGATAGTTTTATTCTAAAGTCACTGGATTGTATTGTTCTGTTCTATTTACACACACACACACAGAGAGAGAGAGAGAGAGAGAGAGATCCTAAATATAATTTGTAATCATCTAGTGTAACCAAGTAATGGTACCCAAGGCTGGTCCACCAGGTCAGCCTTGGACTGTAATTGAGTTCATGACAAAATAAGGGTTTTGCACTTTGGGATACAGTTTAATAAAGGAAAAGCACCTCCCCCCCCCCCGGGCCCTAGGGCAGCATTATTTTGAAGCAAAGAATGAGATTTGCAATATCTATGTCAATTAATCTATCTGTGCAATGGAGACAACGTGATTTATTGCATAGAACTCTTTAGAAAGACCACTGCCATAATATAATTAGGAGGTACTTTGATAAAAGAAAACAGTAGTTTGATGGAAATCCAATGCAAGGCCCATGTGGGAAGCGGGGGAAGGAGTTCACAGCAGTTTTCTTCAAGATCTTCTGCCCTCAGCTGTCTGGCACAAATGCTTTATTTTTGCAAGTACCAATTAAAAATAATTAATTAAAAAATCCATGTGTAATATTTCCTTGTTGAAATGTATCTTTTGTTAACTATGACAGCAGTGCTAGCTGTTTTTGGAACTAATATGTTCCCGACTCACTGCATGACCCTTTGTGGACTAATTATCCCTCTTGTAGACAATGATTGGTATGCCTTAATTAGACTTGTCCCTCTTGCTGTCAGTAGTGACTCATCCTTTGGTTCTCAAGGGATGTGTGCATCTCTTATTTGAGCGGGAATGGATGAAATGGATCATTGTTTCTAATCTCAAGCTAAGAACCAGCTGGAGTGGAAAGGGAACTTAAGGCACTAGAAATTGCCTCTCCTCACCCCCCACCCCCACTGCCTTCACTCTCAGAAACCTTATTTTCAAGGGGGGTTGCAGTAATTTGAATGTAATATCCCTTGATGCTAATGAGGGAAGCTGTTCATTTCACATGAGCCTATTTAGAGGTGGCAAGGATTCCTACAACACAGCTGTATTTACATAGCTACCTCTCAAAGAAAACTGTTGAAAAGCCATTCCTTAATTTCTGTTCTTGCGACTTTTGAATAATAATTCAGAAAGATTGCTAAAAAAAACCAAGAAGCAATTACTGTAGTTACT